TTCCAGTGAGTAGATACCCATTTGAGTTACTGAATCTAGGCAAATGGAAAAGTACTGGAAATGTTCTGACCCATTTCTTTGGACTGTTTTCTGATCTTTCCTTTCCATTCTTACCTTCCCCTCAATGTCTTCCTCTTCCCATGGAAGATAAACGCTTGCTACAGCATGCTCTTACATACACTCATCCCCAGCTGGGTGAAAAGCAGGAGCCAATTAATGCAGTAATTTACTATTTAAGCCTCAACAAATGTCTTATATAACTGTTGAAGGAATGAACTGTAAGTTATATTTTAAAAATAATTAAATTAAAATATATTATTCTGGAGTACTATGAGAGCTTTTAGGTGATTTTAACAAAAATAGTGTTGGTGTCATAAGCTTACTCAGTTCACACAAGAAGAGGCGTACCTAAGATTTTTCCCACCTTGGCCCAGGAACCTCCATTCAGCATTACATATTCACACAGGTGCAGACTATTTCCTCTCCCCTCATCTGTTCCTGATCTGAGACAGCTCCTACCCAAGTGCTGATACTTAGTTCCATGCCCCCTTTAAGAGTGTGTTACCTTCGGCGTTGTTCTGCATCCTCCAGCTTCAGCTTTAAGCCTGGCCTAAAGCAGATTCACTCACTTGCTGTCTGTGTTAATTTTTTTAAAGCCATGAATTTTGTGTGAGGATGACATAATTCTCTTGCACCATCATGTAACTATCTTTAAGCATGTGTTGGTGGACAAAATGTATTCAGTAACAGTCTGTACTGTTATAACAAAATACCTGAACTTGTAAAATTCATTTCTTACCATTCTGGAGTTTAGGAAGTCCAAGATCAGGATGCCAGCAGGTTTGGTTGTCTGTTGAAGGCTATTCTTTGCTTCCAAGATGGTGCCTTATTGCTGCAACCTCCGGAGGAGTTACCACTGCGTTTTTATATGCCGAAAGGTGGAAAGGTGAAAGAGCCAAATTTGCATGAAGCCCCTTTTATAAGGGATTTAATATCATTCACGATGGGAGGAGCCCTCATAATTTAGTCACATCTTAAAAGCCCTACCTCTTAATACCATCACATTGGCCATTAAGTTTCATCACCTAAATTTTGGAGGAAATATGCAAACCACAGCAGGTGGTGACTGTATCGGGACAAATGATTATCACTTGTAGCAAAACTGCTCAAGGTGTATGTTCAGCCATGGTTTGAATAAGATTAGCACCACATCACAATATTACAGTTCCAAAATTTTATTCATATTTCCTAATTATATCCACTGAGAAATTATCTGTTGGGGGCCTGTTCTTTAAAAAATAGTCTAATATTCATGACTATAATAAACTGTTTTGTGCTGTCTTGGGATATAATGACAATTATAAACAATTATCATGAGGGTCCTTGTAGGTAAGGAATGCCTTCATGTAATTTTAGACTTTAAAGCTAACTATCAGAAAGTAAACATAAAATCCGTGTCTTGGAGACAAACCAGATTTGTACAACTCCCGTGGAGATTTTGAGGTCGTAAGTTATTGAGTACACCATACTGGTCCATTTGTGAGGCTTTATGTACCTTTGACAAAAACTACTGAGGCAATTGTTTAGATGGGATTATCTTTGTAAGTAAATAGGAAGTTCTTATTTTTAGTAAATTATCTTTCCTGGAATAAAAAGGCAGAAACAAGCCTTCAGTGTCAAACCTTTATTATTACTTCAGTGAATATAAAATTACATTATCTCTATTCCCCTAGATCCTGCTGTTACATCCCTCAATATGGTTGCTTCTGATGGGATCCAGATATTATTGTAGATGTATCTCGACTAATGGTATTTGGCTTCAAATTTGACTAATGGTATTTGGCTTCAAATACCACAATGCATGCAGCAGTGCTAACACTAAGTATGTGCCTTGAAGTCTTTTGTTTCTCCTTTCTCAATTGCATTCTGGAAACAAGTTCTGATTTGCTTATACCAGAGAACAGGAATGAATGCATAATAGGTGCCCTCCAACAATTTACAAGACTTTGGAGGCAGATGGTAGGGTGTGTATCCTAATGGATACTAATCATTTAAAACATGTTGGTGTTCAAAATGATAAGCACCAGTTTGATATCTGTCATCTTTGATTATCAACTGGTTGGGGGAAGTAGGCTACACTCACTAAGGAGCTTTTTCTAACTGCATATATTCAAATTGTTTTGTTCACATTCCAGGGTACATTCTCCTTTCCTCTTCACCCCACTCCACCCACAGCCCAGTGGCAGTTACTCCTGTAGGAACAATGGTGGAAATGAATAGTCTAGTCACCACTTTGAGATAGTTAGATGTTCTATAAACAGATAATATGTGATATTAGACAATAGTGTATGTCAAGGAGATATATTTGTTTCAATTAAATATATGCGTGTATATGCATATATGTACTTTCTTTTTATAGTTTGTTAATTTTCTATGACAAGGGCAAAATTAATGTAAAAATAATTATTGACTTGTTATTGTTTTCATTCATTTATTGTGAAGACATAGAGCTTTGTAATTTTACTATTATAATTCTTTGTCATGATCAGCCATGTGGTGTTTTGCAAGGAATTTGTTAAAGTGTTGAAAATTGCCAATTATTTGTTTACAAAGGAGAGTAGATTCAGGATTAGATATTTTCACTTACTTTCATTCAATTATACCATCTCAAGTTAGCAAGGAAGAGCTGGAGTTACAGATAGCATACATATGAATTGTTCTAACCTGCAGACTATTCTATAACCCCTTCCATACCCCTGAGAACTTGTGGAGTCTATAGACATCTTTCAAGTGTACTAAGGCAGAAAAAGGTCAATGGTCTAACACAGTTATCTTTATAAATCCTCAAATCAGTCCTTAGAAACTCGTTAACCAAATTCTCACCTTTGTTTAATGTCATGGGATAAAATCATTAAGCTGTTTGCATTCTCTACTATCTTTGTGTTGTTTTTTAAATTTCTTTGTTTTCTTAAGAAAAAATAACTTTTTTCTTTTGCTACCATATATTAATATTTCATCTCATTAACTTGAAAATTTTGAAGACCCTTTTCTCCTTGAGACATTGTTATTATTTCCCTTTGCTCATCCTAGGAAGCTAATTCAGAATATAGATTCTACTGTAGTTTTTAGATCATTGTTCCAATACTGGTATAATTACATAGGATTTATCCTTTCTTCCTCCATTCCAATCAACCCATTATAGAAAAAATTACCCTTACTTATACTTTACTCCTCAGTCTACCTGTACTAATGGGACAGTTTTAAAGAGTATTTTTGACACATGAGCCATGTTAAAAGAAAAGGAAAAGATGTAGTCAACCTGCATCGCTGCAACTCGGAAGAACCTAAGCAGGTACTAAGGAGCAGATAATATTGAAACTAGAAATTATACCCTAAGATTTCCAGACTGTCTGATAGCAACTGAGTGCCATATCCTCCCCTCCATGCTCTCCCCTGTATCTTAAGGATTTGAAACCTAAAAACATTCCCCAAATCCATGCTATCGAGGCTGGAATTATATACATTTTGGAAAACAGAAGAGAAGCAAAAGGCATTAATGGATCTACAGTAGAGGTGGGCAGGAGTGTGGGCTTAGTAGGAGGCGACAAGATTTTACAAATAAACCTGCACTTTTCCTGTACATCATCTACTTTAGCACTGTTCATGTTAATAGCAGTTTCTTGCAATTTTGCACTTCCTGGTTTCTTCAATACTAGTGGATACTTTTCCAAACTTAAACTTCCCTAGCTCTTTCAGTAGTTTTTATAAGATTTTAATTCCTTGAATTAAATAACTTTCTGCTAGAAGTATCTACAATGGCTTCTCTAGCTATCTGAATCATGATTGACTCCTCCATTTTTCCCTGGTGACAAAGTTCTAGCTAATTTTGAGTGAGCCATGAATGAAATCTATGTATAGAGCCCATTATACTTATGCAAATATCTAACGGCCTTCAAAAACCAAAAGAAAACCAACCTGATTTTGAACAAATATGCATCTTTACTGGACTCTCAGGTAGCTAAAACCTTCTTTTCCTAGAAGACATATGTTAAAATTGGAAACATTTATGGTTTACAACCTTGCAGATCTATCTTCAAGTTTTAGCTTTAATAAATATACTTCACTTCATCAACTCAATTTTCTTGAAGGATATTTATTGACTACTAACTTGGTGTCAGGAATTGCAAGTACCTGTGAAAACCACAATGGTTAAGACAATCCCTGTCCTGGCCCTCATGATGCTTAAGATCTAGCAGCAAATATTAGTGAAAAATAAAAGAATCTATATGAGATGAAAAACATAGGCACAGTCAGGTTCTAAACAACCTTTCATGTTGTAAAAAGATGCTGAGTTTATTATAAGAATTATAAGGAGACATTAAAGTGTTTTCATCAGAAGAGCGATTTGACAAAATCTGAATTTTTGAAAAATCACTATAGCTAGTGGGTTAAAGTCAGATTGGATGGGAATAAAACAATATATAGAGACCAATCAGGAAGCCCTTGTATTAATCCAAATGAGACATAATAGCAGTCTGGGGATAAAACCCATTGGTTCATAGCCCGGAGCAAGGGGATAGAAAAAATCAACTCGATTAAAGAAACATGTAGGGATTAAAACAAGATGCGGGAATTAATTAAATACAAGTGATAAAGAGACTTGTGAAGGGTGATTCCAAAATGTAAGGCTTTTGGGAAACAGGTACATAGTAGTGTCATGACTGAGAGAGGAAATACAGGAAGACAAAGTGGAGGAGGCTTGGGAGGAGGTATGCATTGAAATGGCAGGTTCTGTTTTAGACATGTTGGATTTGATTTGCTGGTAAGACACCCATGTGGACGTGGTCTGTTGGCCGGTAGAGATAGAGATTTGAAGTTTAGAAGAAAGGTCTTGTCTGAAAAATGAAGATTCAAGCATCCTCATATTATATATTGTAATTGCAGTCATAAGAGTGGATCCATTGATTCAGGCTCAGGTACAGAATGCAAAGAGAGCTGGACTAACAGTGGAACAGCCACCTTTATTTTTCTTTTTTAGTTGCATTAGTCTTACTGCCTTCTCTTAGACAAGCACTCTCATATAAAATTCCACACAATTTCTCTAATTTTCCCAACTTTTAAATTTCAACATAAAGTCACTATATAAAGAGTATTTTATTAATGAATTTACATAATGAATTGAATCAGATACATGTTAATTGAATCATTAATTGGATTCTAATAATTTACTACTACAACATGTTACACAGTAGCATATACATTTCTTACAGTGTAAGAATTCACCAAGGGGGAGGGTAAATCTTTAACCATAGTTTTTTACAAGCATCTGAAGCAAAGTAATTGCTATTTAAAAGACAAAAAGCTCATTTTTTAACAATTTTTCTGAGTCTAATGAATCAGAAAAATTCAGAAAAATGAACCTTTCAATTATATATTACAGATATACATTTTTTTAATTCTATTCTTAAAGTCTTCCACCTAATCAAACATATTGTTTTCATTCTTCTTCAGTATTCCAGAAGTGCAGTGCACTTAAAAAAATCTTTTATATATATCATAGAAGGAATTTAATAAAAGCTATAGTATGAATTTTAAATATGTCCATAAAGTGAAGCTCTCCAGTTCATAAAATTAATGTTATAACTATACATAATATGCACATTGAAGTTTTTTGTGTTAAAAATATATTCACAAATTTTGTCACATTTACAAAAGATATGACTGTAATGAAACTTTAACAGCATCTAAAGACATATGACTAGTTTAATATCTCAGTTATTTTTTATGAACATAGAAGGCTTTTAAAGCATCTTTGGTCAAGTACTATTGAAATAACAATTTTATTCATAAAATAATTAAATAAAAAATACTGTAACATCTATTCTACTATTTATAGGAACAATTTTATTATGTATATATTCATTTTATACAAAAATATAGCTAATTATTTTGAAAAGAAGATAAATAACCTATGTAAAATTGGTTGAAATACAACATTTGCAAGACGAAATGAATACAATGTTTTTAGTGTCTCTTACCAGATGGGTCCATTTTAATGTAACTGCATTGTTTTATTTAGTATGGGTTCATGGAAGATGAATTTCAAAGAAAATAACACTGCAGTGTTCTTTAAACACATCAGAGCTATGTACCTATGCAAAAATAGCTTATAAACACTGTAAAATGTTACAACATGCCACAAAAATTATTCTCTAATCTGCTTTAAATTTTAGTGTAGACAAATTTAGCTCCAACAGGAATAACAGAAATTATACCTGTTCAAAAAGGTATAACAATTAACCATGATTAAAATTATCAAGTTATATTCTTGTGATCTAAATAGTATCTCCATAAAGCAGATGTTAACTTGAAATTAGAAATTAAATGACGGTTTGCATTTCTTGTAATTCTGAGAATTTCAGCTTTTGATTCAGAGTTGAAGAAATTTTCACCAAACATGCAACTGGTGTTAAGAACAAGTGGCTCACTGAGTGTTGAGGAGTTCCCCCATCATCTGTCAAAATATTAATTATATAGCAAATTTCAGTTTATTTCCTTGAAACCATTCATATAGTAGGTGACCTTTACCTGCAGCATTCCCTGATGGATTTTGTCTAGAGAATGAACAAAAAAATCAAAATGCCATGAAGAAGAGCTTGTGGCTCCCTGGAGAAATTTCTGTTCAATGGTGTTTTCATCAGCTGAACAGGGAGCAGTGAACTCCACAGCATCCCCAATCCAGGTCCTAATGTGTCAACTTATTTACCCACCATCTCTTAGCAATGCTGGTAATACTAATTCCTTGTTCAAGTTTTCTTCCCTCCAGGAAAATGGTCAAAAGTATTTCTTTCTACTTTTACTCATAATTCAAACTACTACCCAGCCAACTGTTAAGTAAACCACTTTGTTGCCTTATCTTTGAATTCAAGCATTTTCACACAGGCTCTACCCAGCCAGTTTTCCAGGAATTAAACAGCAGTTGCTTCCATTTAGATCCTCTTCTTTTTTAAAATGGGAAATCAATTTTCACTTGTGAGCCACCGTCAACCAGATTTATAGCTCTCTGGTCAGAATTCATCCATACGTTTTCACACCCTATCTTCCTTAGACGTTGGTAGCCTCTGTGAAAGAGTCATTGGGGCCACTGTTCTTTCTGACCTCCAGGTTCTTTTTAGACTTGAGTGTCACTGACACCTCAGAGTGAATGGCATCCAGCCGCTGCTCACAGCGGAAGGCCGAGAGGAAAGCCTTTCTATAGTTGCTGTTCATCCAGCCATAGAGAAGTGGATTGGCAAAAGTCGAGCACATGGCGATGATGTGGAACACTGTGAAGATGAGTTTGTACTCCTTCAGGTGCAGGACCTGGCTGTCAATGTCAACGGCAAGCTGGAAGGCGTGGAGAGGCAGCCAGCTGACCGCAAACACCACCACCACGCACACCAGCATTTTGGTGGTTTTTTGCCTTCGCTGATGGTAGTGGTCATTCGCAGCTCCAGGACTGACATGATTCTTTAGTTTACTCCAAATGCGAGTGTAGGAAAATGATATGATGCCCAGAGGCAAAACATACAGGATCAACAAGGAAGAAAGACTGTACACAGTGCCATAGATGCTCTTCTCCTCACCAGGCCACTTTTCAGTGCAGGCCACAATCTCAAAGTCAGGAATGATCTCAATCAGCGAATACTCCCGGAAGATGGCCAGGGGACTTGCCAGCAGGGCACTGATGCCCCAGGCTAAGCCAATAATCAGGAAGCTGATTCGCTTGGAGATCTTGCTCTCCAGGTGGTAGACGATGCACCTGTGCCGATCCAGGGCAATTACTGTCAGGGTGATTGTGGATACTTGTACTGCCAGGCCCTGGGCATAGGGCACCAGGTGACACAAGACAGGACCCATTTTCCACTCCCCCATTAAGGTATAGGTAAGAGTGAATGGTAGACATAGAGTATTCACCAAAAGATCTGCCACTGCCAGATTGGCAATGAAAAAGTTGGTTACTGTGCGCATGCTCTTGAATTTGATCACCACGTGGATGACCAAGGAGTTGCCAATTACCCCAAGCAAGATGATGGAGCAATAGGCCAATATGAGGACAACTTGTACCTCAATCAACTTGGTACTATCTATAAGTTCTGGCTCAGGGTCATGGGCCAGTTCACCTCTAGGTGTGGTTTGTGTCCCATATTGCTCCACCTTTATTTCTTCCACTGTCTGGTTCTCGTCAGCCTCTGCACCTATTGGACCCATTTTCAGTACAGTTCCACTTAGCCCGCAAGCAGCACAAGAGTCTACAACCTAAAAAGAAAACAAAACAAAGCAAAACAACAACAACAAATGCAATGAAGAAAACACAAAGGTGAAGCAAAAAAATTTCACAAATGGACTGTTTTAATTTTGACTGGGGATCAAAATACCCTCTATTCAACATTTGAATAAAATGGACCCTTTAATAAGTCTGTTGTCAAATATAGATCAATTAAATTAGGTCTCTGAAATGTATGCTATGATGGTAAAGTATAATACTGATAGTAAAGACATAATTTCAAAGTGAATGCTACCAAATGGATTAATTTCAAGTGGGATGAATATTATAAACTTTATGAATTTTATAACCACTATAAATTCATTGAATTAATTTTCAGGTGGATAAAAAAGTAAAGTCTCCTTCAATATCTTGACTGTTTCGAATTTATAAATATACAGCAACAAATTGTATAAGAAAGGGGAACATACTAAAACTATTGTCTGGTTTGGGACTATGAATTATCTGAGATAAACCAAGAAGATTCTGTTTCTGGCGCACGGCTTAGTATTAATAGTATGAAAATATGTTAAGAGTTACTTTTTAAAAATGTAATTTCAATAGCTTTTGGGGTACAAGTGGTTTTGGTTGCACGGATGAATTGTATAGCAGTAAAATCAGATTTTAGTGCACCCATCACCCAAGCAGTGTACGTTGTACCCAATATGTAGTTTTTTTGTCCCTCACTCTCATTTTCACCCTCTCCCTTATGAGTCTCTAGAGTCTGTTATGCCACTCTGTATGCCTTTGTGTACCCACAGCTTAGCCCGTACTTACAAATGAGAACCTATGGTATTTGATTTTCCATCCTAGTTACTTCACTTAGAATTATGGTCTTCAGCTCTATCCCAACTTGCTGCAAAAGACATCATTTCATCCTTTTTTATGGCTGAGTAGTATTCCATGGTGTATACATACTGCATTTTCTTTATCCACTCAATGGATAAAGAAAAAAAAAAATGGATAAAGAAAATGGATAAAGAAAAAAGTGTTCACTAAGGACACTTGGGTTGGAACAGTTGCTTTTTTGACTGATTTTAAACTTCTGAACTAACATATATTATTTCATGCTTTCTCAAAATCTCTGTTAGCCCCCATATTGAAGAGAACCCTCAGACTAGTCTTTTACATATCTCTTCCACTTGCTGTTTTCTCGCCATTTCTACAACATCGGTTTCATTCTTCTTAATCTCTTATCATATTACTTTAATCATCTTCTAACTTACCTCCCATCCTCTTTTGCTTTTATGTATTAATTAATTCCTTCACCTAACAGAAATAATCAAGTGTCTACTCAATGCCAAGGTGGCTTTACCATCCTGGTGCCTATACGTTTTCAAACCTGCATTCATCACAAATTTACATGCCTATTATCTTGAACTAGGGTTTTGCCAGGTGAAGACAACAGGATAGTATCTCTACTAAAAGGCTCTCCCATTCTACTGGACAATGCCTACTCTGCTATTAATTTTTTTCTGAAATTCAAATGTGATCATATTGTTTTCTTCATGTCTCCAGATTGTTTGAAACAGTATATATCATTTTCTAATGCAAGTTTCATTTTTTTCAGTCTAAGCATTCAGAGCCCAACACCATAGTGGTAGTACCTTTCAAATATATTCACAGTCACAAAAGGCTGCCACTGTCCATTCAGTGCTTCGTTTATGAATTTGTTTTTATGAGCCTTTAAATGGATGTGTTTGTAATTAATAGCATCTAACTCCATTGGTAGGACAGTCATATATTTATTCAGCCCACAGACAACGGCTGGCTGTTCCTGTGTGCTCCCCAGCTCCTTTCCTCACCCTTCCCCTGCTCTGTTCTGCCCTGTACCGCAGGGGGGCTGACTCTTGGAAACTACATTTTTTTTTTTTTTTTTTT